TGTTAGGCCGACGTTTCAACCCACCTTGCAGGTCCTCATCAGGGCTAGAAAAGATACAAAGTATAAAAGGTACAAGGAAAAATTAAATAAATGAATTGTATGTAGATATTAAATAAGAAACAGTTTTCTGATGAAGAAATAATAAGATGACATCAGAGATATAGTGGGTGGCAGTGTAGTTAAAATATCAAGTATTATATATATAGAAGATACAAACAAAAGTTTTATTATTTTTATTGAGACATATAATATTCTGTCTCAATGATTACAATACACACCGTATATACAGAAAATATAAAAACAAACAAAAATAGAATATAAATATGAAATATGAAATAAGTATTCCTATTTTTGGATCTTTATCTTTATTTGTTAAACTTTAGTCTCGTTATCTGTTTACCTACATTTATCAAATATATCCTACACTAGATCGTTATCCACTGATATCTTATTATTATGTTATCTTATTCTTATTTTAAATATGCTTTATCAATAGTTATTCAATTTTCAATATCTTTATTCGCTAACATTTATCTGTTAACCTGCAGTTATCAAATGTAATCTTTATTAGTTTGTTGTACAATCATTTCTTATCTTTTATCACAATCTTTTTACTTTTAACTTACATGCTATATTCTCCTTTGTTTTCTATTTTTATTCATACTTATTTTCTGTTGTTCTATATATATATATATATATATATATATATATATATATATATATATATATATATATATATATATATATATATAATACTTGACATTTTAACTACATTGTCACCCACTATATCTCTGATATTATCGTATTATTTCAAACAACATTTTCTTATTTAATATCTACTTCCAATTCATGTATTTCATTTTAACCATGCACCTTTTATATTTTGTATCTTTTGTAGCCCTGATGAAGACCTGCGAGGTTGGTCGAAACGTCGGCATTATAATTAAATAATACTATTTCTATAATTTAGTATTTATTTGACCGCACCCTCCAAGTAACTTCTTCTCTTGTTATATCACGGTCAACCGTCTCTACATCATTATAAACAATTATAATTGTGTATAAATTCCTCTGGTGAACTTTTCTCTGACTAATAGTCATTTATATAACACTCTAAAAATGAAACTATAGGTTTATTACATATGTGAGGAAGCGCAGCTACGGAGGCAGCATATGACCTCAGTGACCTAGTTGCGGTATCCAAACGTTTTTTTGCGATATTTATTAATCTAGAGCTAGAATTAATTTATATTTAATAATGTAAATAAATAAAATTAAGTTAAATTTATGTATGTGAATGTGTGTATTTAGTCACAAATAAAAATAGAACAGAATATCTCTTAGAAAAACTAGTTTCTCGTTTTACAATTAATTAAATATATATATATATATATATATATATATATATATATATATATATATATATATATATATATATATATATATTGAAAATATATTGACAAATTGGTTTATGGATTCTCCGAGGTATATAGATTTTGAGATATTTTGTATCAAACTATCGTTATTACTTTTTTTGGCCACCGAAGGATTATTAAGTACTGAATATGACTTATTATATTTGACTTATCTACGCTGCATAATATGCAATGCGCAACATTCATTACCTACGGTTGTATATATACTTCATTACCAGATTCCACTGTTGAATTTCTACATATACGATTGGCTCCACCTATTCTCTTAAATGAGAACAATATGGGATATACATTTTGATCTGTATTTTGTAAAAAAAAAAAAAAAAAAAAGAGAAAGAATAATTAATCAGAGCCGTCAGCAACATTAACCGTGGCGAATAGATGTATTGAGATGAATTACGTTAAAGCAAGCTTTCAGTCTACAAACAAAGCGCCATATTCTATCATAGGTAACTATTAGCGGTCCAAAGGGACACGTTACAGGTTGATAATATTAGTATAGTGTGATAATTGCCACGGTAAACCAATACTGACCACATCCTGCTACCTATGGCTTTGAATAACTTGAATGACAGTATACAGCATGTACATTATATATATATATAGTATGTCAAAATATATTTTATATTTTAATATGCTTTATATTTTTATTTTATACTCTAGGAAAGCCAAAGATAAGATATAAAAGGTAATGTCAAAAGGTTGCGTGGTTGAATCACGTCGGGGTCACCAATTTTTAGACAGATGTGTATAGTTCAATGGAATAGTAAGATGTCAGCAAAAATAAATATAAACAAACTGTACAAAAATATATATTGTTCATAAAAGAAATAAATAATAAAAATCTTCTCATCGGTAAAAAAAAAAAAAAAAAAAAAAAAAAAAAACGAAACAGAGTTCTTATATACAATAAATTAAACTAAATGAATAGCTGTTCGAAATAAAAAGCTGTGTGTAAAATATATTCAACTTATATCCATCGCCACTTTGTCTTCTGAATAATCAGTAAACTCTCAGTGACTATTCATGTATTTTTATCGTGTAAAAATACATTTTATGGATCTTTTTTTATACCATTTGCTCAGGATTAAGGAAGGCTGATTGACTGTGTAGATATATTATAAAATATCAATTAGTGCTGTTACATTATCATTTTTTAGTTCTTCTCTATGTATCTTAGTACTTCTCAAAGAAAATTACACAAATTCTATCAACATTGACTTTTGTTTATTTATAATTTTTAATCAAGCATATATATTGTTACAAATTAAAAATAGTTGGCCCCTGCAAATGATTCGCAATAAACGAATTGCCATGTTATATAGACATAATTAAATGAAAGTTATTTATTTCGAGGAGGAATGAAACTTAATTAAATATAACAGACCAAAACATGAGTACAAATTACAATTTGCATAATAAACATATTCTGATTTTGATGTTTTTATTGTTTATTTTTTGGGAGAAGATCAGGAAAATATAATAATCAGTCATGAATTTTATGGTTCATTTAGTTATCCATAAGGAAAATTTAGTTATATTCATACATTTTTCCTGACGTTATTGGAAGATGTGCTTGTTTTTTGCACCTGAAGGAGAAGACAATCTTTACAATGATGGGTTTCAAAATCATTGGATATGATAAAGAATTAACGAACATATGATATAATGACAAAAACAACTTTGAGAAAAAATATATAAAGATTTGCTAAAATAAACCAGATATATTTTAATCTGTATGGGTTTAGGTCCATGGCAACCAAGGAAAAAATGGGTACTCATGAGCTTTTAGAACTTCATTAAATTGATTAATGTAATAAAAAAACGACCCATTTCTCATAATTTTTATGGGTACAATGTTGTAGATTACAATAAAATGAAGCTACTCATTAAGTTTTAATAATTTGTTAAAAAGGGATCTTTTATGCTTGCCTTTAATCTTGTTTACATAGTTTTAATATTTAATAATTTTACTAATTATGAATTTTATAATTATTGTTTTATGTCAAACAATTAAACTGTAGTACATCTCCATTACGGGAATAAGGGTTTTATGTATACTGGTTTTTCTAACCCCACATTAACATTCCGTCAAAAAATAAATTTATGAAATTTAATTAAAAAACTCATATCAGTAAATTTAATTGCAAAGACGCATCTATAACGCCATAGCAAGTTGAAACAGTCCTGATCAATCGATACTTTTTTTTTCGCGTTTCAGCTAATAAGAAGAAGATGCGTCTTAGCAATCAATATGGGTCAAAGGAGGTCATTTTTATTGAGTTATATAAAAATATTCGTTTTTGAAGGAACGATCAAGTGAAGCTAAAGGAACGGCTATGCATAACCTCCCGTCAACGAAGGGGCTATAGAGATAATAGAGGATGGAATGGCATTTTACTTTGGGAATGTATTGAAAGAACTTAGGAGGTAAATATACAATAATTTACCACTCCTATCCCTTCCACTTCATGGCGGTGGCGATAATAAATTTTTCGAAAATTGTCAATTGAAATTAATGAATATATCGAAAAATATAAAAAATAGGAGACAAATTAATACAAACTTTCGTGAAGGAGATTTTATCAGCTTTTTAAAAAATTATTTTATTGAAATTTACAACAATATACATATGTACAATCAATAAATCTGCTATAGGAATATATAACATAAAGGTACTTTTGAAGGAGCTACCACTGGTAACACTTCAAAGATTAATTTATTTAAAATATACCTTCGTTTTTCAGACGCCTCGGAGGGTTGTTAGGAATTGTATTGGATGAAAAGTTTACTAGAGGATTGGGGTGATTAAAGAGTTTGGAATTAAAATAGGCATATCTAGTTCGTGCCAAGACTTCCACAGTAGGAATGTTGAGGTCTTTATGGATAATTTTATTTGTTACATAATAAGGAGCATTCAGGATTGTACGGAGGATTTTGGATTGTAAGGAATGGGTACGGGAAGAATTTGATGTTTTTGTAGAGCCCCACCCTCAATAACATATGTCCAAATGGGCCTAATGATAGTATTTTAAATGAGTTTTTTGAAGAATATTGGAAGTTAGAGCGTTTGTCAGATAAGTGTTGTGGTAGTCGGTATCTCTTGGCAGTTTTTTGTCTTTTAAGTCTAGTGTAAGGATTCCAGGTAAGGCATTTGTCAAGAAGGAGTTCTAGGTAACGGATATGTTCGACAGGGATCAGTGGAATATTGTTAAAGGATACGGTGGGATTTATCAGCTTTTATTTTGAAAAACCACAATGTTTAATCTGCGACGCCTCTTTTTCACGATATATGAGAAACTCTGGAAAAAGTGTCCTTACCGATGCACCCAACCATGAAGTGAAAGAGATGCAGAGGAATATTTTAATATGTGTACCTCCTAAATAGTCCCAATAAATTTTTAAAGTCAAATTCTTGCTCTTCATCCATTCACCCTACAGTCACCCTTTCACCATTCATTGATTGATTAAACGTATCCTAGAATAATATTATTTTTCTTCCTTTAATAGTGATTATTATTTTGTAAATAATTATATGATATAAAAAAAAATACTATTGCTATGTCATACTGAATCGGTTAGTAAATCATGCTTCCTATGGTGCCTTGTCCTTACAAGGGGATGGTCGATGTGCTTGGACCGGTGGGAGAAGACGTACACGAACGTCTTGATGTTCCCCTGGGCTGCGGTAGCGTGGTAGGTTGCCATCTGGAAGACAGGAGCTACCACCCTCGCGTCGGAGAGGAGTGTCAGCGTGTTGTCCCGTGCCTTCAGCGGCGACATCCGAGCACTGTGGAGGTCGTATACACCGCTAGCTCTGTCTTTGGCTGTCCTCCACTGGCTCTGAAATGTCAAAAGACAGGTCAGAATTTAATCGGTAAATAAGTCAAAATAGTGTACAATCTGAACAAGCACTTGAGCCGATAGCTCTCAATTTATTCAACTAATTTCAACGGAGTTAATGATTACTTGACCGGATGGATAGGCTGCTGTATCATTGTCTCTGAACGTTAAATACACATATAATTCAAACGATTACCAGAAACACAACAGTTCATTGGCAATATAAACAGCTTGTTGTGTTAGATATTATATTCGCTACGAATCTCCCCTCAGCTTTAGATTGTATACCAATTTGCAATATAAATATTTTTGAGGTATTTATTTTCATTCAATTGCATGTTTTCAACAGGTATTTCAGGATTAAATTATATAGTCATTATTTTCCGTGTTGCCAGCACACTTACTGATTTTCAACAATAAGATAACAGGCACAAATACAGTTTTTAAAGAAAAAGAAGTATATTGCAATAGTTTGATACTACGTGTTTAAATTTAATTACTGAGATACATTAAAAAAAATTAAAATGTATTTATAAGAAGGTTGTTGATTAAATATTCTCATGAAGGTTTTCAAGATGTTGTTCTGATAAAATATGTTTATGATGGGGGAGTGAAAAGCAACTGGAATCCATAACAATAGAGCCTAGATTAAATTAACATGGCATTTTTTTTTTCATTATTGGCTTATTATTGAATATAAAAATATATTATATGTGATGATTCGTTAGTTTTTTTTTAACTGGTCGTTTCTGGATCGTGGTGGTAAAATATTAATAAACAGCAAAAGAAAGTAAAAAAAAAAATGTATATATATATTTAAATAAAAACAATGAATAAAATAACAACTGTTTGTAACTATTTAATAGAACTATTATTAGAAATTTAGTTTCTCATTTTAAATTTCTTTTATTTTTCTTCGATTTTTTTTCTGGATTCTACGATTTCTTCTCACGTTTCATTGGACTTCTGCATACAGACAGAACAGCAGTAGTTCGCTGAAATGTCTGAAAGGTAACTTGAAAATAGTATAACCCTAGAAAGAAGCTTCAATTTTATATAAAGATTTTCTAAAAAATAATTTATCGAAAAGATTTCCGTGATTTTAATAGGTATTTAATAAGCATCTCCTTATAAAGATAATTCGGTGTAAGGACGACGAAACTAGAAATTTTGTAGCATAGGCAAAATAGTTAGAATGATATGTGTATATTATACCATAGGATGACAGTTGGAACCTGTTTTATCTCATTGCTTACCGTCAACCATATATATGGTTGACAGGATGCGATATGTTGGAACAGGTTCCAACTGTCATCGTATGATATTACAATATGTGTATATATATCGCTGCAACATTTGTTTGTAAGGTTGACAGAATGCGAAATAATGAAATAGGTCCCTAATTGTTGAACTTCGAATTGAAAAAATACAAAATAGGATTACGTTTTGGGATTAGGAATTAATATTAATTAAGGATTAGATATTCATTGAAATATATTCATTCATATTCATTGAAACGGTTAAGGTTATGTTGGTCCCGAGATTAAGGCTGTTTAAGTTTAGTCTTGGGTCCGCTCGTTATTTAACGTGATAAAATATTTTTCTGACATTTCATTGTTGTGTCGATGTTCCGTCATATGAGTGATATAACTGTAGGAGATTTTTTATCAGATATTTAAAAAACCTGGAAATTTTCTTTTACCGGTATTAGTAAAAAGTAAAAATGCCGAAACAAAACTAAAATGATTTTCATCTTATTCGACATCTTTTGGATTTAAGTTTCAAAGATTATTTCACAGTTATTGTTAAGATCCAAGAGAGATGGGAGCTAGAGCGAGACGCGACCCTTGCTCTCCCGAGTGGAAAACGATCCTCGACTTCATTAGGAAGAAGAGGCTGGAGCTCCATATGACGGGGCTGTTACACAGTCTAGGCAAAAAGGACCATCCCCTAAATTGCCTTCCTTTGTCCTTCAACCCTCTCGTCATCATCATCATCATGGAAAATTAAATACTGCAACGAGGAGTATCCTACACTCCAGCTCTTTACCGGTGTCTTCATCTTCCATCTACGCCATTTACGCTAACATGATAAATTTGTTAAAAATAACTAAGTTTAAAAGGTGTTTTATAATCCAGAACCCTTCAACCAATTATCACCTTTCAGAAAATGTTTAATTATTAGTTCAGAAAATTAATTATTAAGTTGTTCAATAAAACATTTCCTTTCAATTTCTTATGATTTCAGTCCTCATTCACCAGTAGTAACTTTTAAGAAAATTAATATGCTGAAAATATGTATAGACGAATATTTCCAGCTACATAGTTTGTCCTGGTATATTGGTTCTGCAGACTTCCAGATCTTATGCTGCATGAATCAACCTTTTTCATCTCTTCCTGTCTCGAGCTACTGCTTTCCAATTTTCTCTATACAGGTCTGTAGAATCGTTCTTGAATCTATCTCTCATCTCACGTGGTCTCTTGCGTACTACTGCTACATTTGTTGTTGAATAGAGGCTTTCTGATAGATTGCTCCAAGCTACCGAATACATTATTGGTCTCTCCGCTTATGCGTCTTTACCACGATTATATCTTGAACGGATTGATCGATTTGGTTCTTTGTTGGTTTCGACCATCGTAGCCTGTCTAGATCTCAAATAATACTGATTATCAATTCGAAGAACTATTAGTTTGTAGGGATTAGTGAAGTGGAGTGGAAGGGCTAGTTTGTAGTAAAGTGAAAGCTTTTTTTTTTCTTTCTTGATCTCCTCCTCTCCCCCTCTTTAATTATTGAGAAAACTGTGGTTAACCACTATACTTAAGTATTTGATGTTTACATATTTAAACATTTTCCACCAGATGCGAAATTCCTCGCCTATCAAAGATACTTTTTCTAATTGATTCATAATACTGGGTTAAGTTTGATTGAAATTGGTAAGAAAGTCGGATAAGCAGATATTTTTACCGTTTCAACCAGATAGTCTTACTATAGTTCTACTGGATTCCGTCCATTATAAATTTGGCTACTGTAGTTTTTGTAAAGAGGATTTTTCTTTCGCGTAGCGGTTTGAATAATTTAACAGAAATTTAATACGAAATATAAGAAATGAAATACTGGAAATAAAAATATTTATTATTAGATATTTGAAAATATGAATATGAATATAATCATTCAAAGGGGTTCCTCTATTACCCACGATAGTTGACGGCCTGAGAACAATATACACCAACCATCAGAACCGCGTAAGATGCAGTCTGCTGGCTTCCAAATTGATCTTGGCGCGACCACTTGAGCATGTCAAATTCAGCGCATCACTTACTTCATCGAGCTTCAAACTTCAAACTTCAAACTTGATAATGTACGTCAGCAACAGCTGTTACGGTACCTCTTGGCGCATCATCAAGCGACATTATAAAGTTACTATTATTATAGTGTAAATTACTGGATAACTAGTTGGCTCGTACGAATAATTTTTTATTCATTGAATATTACAACATCATGTCTCTTTGACATTGGTTATAATGAGTTAAGATCACATTTGCACTATCGAGATCTTGTTCGTAAAGCGACTCTCTCAACATCATCACTCGTACTGAAAGCATCGGAAATAGATCGAGAAGCGCTTTAGCTACATACATATCTTGAGTGGAGAATCTGACCATTGCCAGAACTCCAATATTTAAAGATTACAAAAGGCCGCGGGGAACTACTGTTTTAACCTTCTTGGGGAATTATAGTGATAGGTGATGCTTGATAGAGATTGTGCAAGATAATTTTGACGATAAGTAAGATTCTGGTGAAATTTGGAGAATTGTTCTGCTATAAGGTCTAGGAGAAATGCGATGCTGACGTTATGATCTAGGGTTTTGTTGGTTACGTAGAAAGGAGAATCAACTAATGTTGGAAGGACATTGGACTGGAAGGATTGGATGCGCTTGATGCTAGAAAATTTTGCTGTTCCCTACAGTTCTAGTCCGTAAGTCCAAATAGGTTTCAGTATTGTCTTGTAGATCAGTAGCTTGTTTTAAATGGGAAGTATAGATTTTCTGTTTAGTAGTCGGTATAGTTGGCCGTACCATCGGTTTAGTTCCTGTCTTTTAAGTCTAGTATGAGGGTTCCAGGTTAGTCGTCGGTCTAAGAGAAAGCCAAGGTACCGGACTGTATCTAAGAAAGGAAGCTGGATTGTGTTAAAATAATTGAGTGATTGGATGCGTTTGGTGCTAGAAAATTGACAAAATAATGATTAATAATTCAACGTATCGTAAGATGGAGGCATATTATCCTATTTTTTTTGGTAATGTAATCGACTAAAGAAATAAATGTATTATGAAACTTCATGATTAAAATCAAACTAAAAATAAATTGTCACTTAAAAATTTTCACTACAAAACTCTTTGCCGTTTAATCGTGGTCTTCAGTTCTTTGAGACAGTGTGATTCCTATACGCACATTTCTTTCGGAAGATTTGTTATTCATCGATGGACCTCGAACGTTTTATAACAATTGAAAACAATAAAGACGGAATTGGAGACGTAAAAGAATAAGAAGAGAGAGGGAATGTTATTCCTACAAAGGATGAATTACCGGCCAGCAATAAAAGCGGATAAGCTACTCCACAATTTACGAGCTCCGTGGCCCAACTACCAAAGCAGTGGTGGCGCGCCCTAGGAGGGAAAAGAACTACTAAATTTTATGTCTCTGTGCAGGACTCGGTTTAAGAATGCCACTCACATATCACATCTCTATGGTGTCAGTCAACGGGATCTTAATAAATTCTAATCGAGGAATTCCGAACATGATGGAATACGTTTAATAAACATGTAAGCATCAAATATTTATCCATAGTTTTCTCATTCATTAAACAGATAAATAAAACAAGACCAATAAGGTAAATAAAATAAAATAAATATAAAACAACTTCTACTTTACTACAAACTATTCATTTACATTTTTTTTTATTTTTTATAATTTTATTGAAATTTACAACTGTATTACATTAAAAATACAACAGGTAAATGTGACATTGGTAACATGACGTGTAAAATATGAAGAGAAACTACCCATTGGTAGAACTCAAATTAAAGTTCTATATTAGAAGATCCCGAGGCCATCTTCTTTACATTTTTTTAAATTTGTAATATTCAAGATCTAGAAATTTCTTGCCATGTTCGGAATGTTGCCATTTATTTACTGCTCAGAGAATCGATTCTTGATTTTAAACATTTGACTACAATTTTTCACTAGTTTTCTTGTTGGATAAAGCCCTCAGTTGTAGGTACCCTTAACGAAATTTTAAAATGCGCTTGTATCATTTTCAATCGCGTAGGAACATGTGTCAATAATTTTAATCCTGTTAAGTCTATAAAGATATTTAATTTACAAATGATTATGTGAAACAGTGTCTTTCAATTATTTTTTAATTGTAAAATGTTAATATGTTGAAATAAAATGTACTAGTTTTCAGCACAATGGAGTACCATATTTCGCAACATCATATTCAATTTTCAGAAAGCAGAAATGAGTGTTTTTTTTTTTTTCCAAAAACGTAACACTGGTACTTTTTAAACATATTCTGTCGGGTTTCTAATCTTCAGCGATATTTTTTACCTATAAAATTAAAGAAATAGTGGAAGATATTATAATGAAGAGAAGAATAGTTGGGGTGGTCAGTCAAAAAAGAAGTAAAAAATAAATGATAATATTTATTTTTACATATGCCGACGTTTCGACCTGAAGTTCAGGCCATCACCAGGGCTAAGAAAAGAACCAGATAACAAGGTATGAGAAACATAAAAATTACAGTAAAATGAAGTTGTTAGAATAATGACAATAGTAGGAACAAGAGACAAATAATAATAACAGGTACAAAGTGTGGAATGATGAAGTAAAAATATTCAAAAAAGGTGACATAAGTATTGTAAAGTATTCACTATATCTTACTTTTACTATTTATTTCCATTCCTTATATAACTTCATATTTTTCTGTTTTACATTTCATTCTAAGATTCCCTTTACAATACTTATGTAACCTTTTTTGACTATGTTTACTTCATCATTCCACACTTTGTACCTGTTATTAATATTTGTCTCTTGTTCCTACTATTGTCATTATTCTAACAACTTCATTTTACTGTATTTTTTATGTTTCTCATACCTTGTTATCTGGTTCTTTTCTTAGCCCTGATGATGGCCTGAACTTCAGGTCGAAACGTCGGCATATGTAAAATAAAATATTATCATTTATTTTTGCCTTCTTTTTTGACTGACCACCCCAACTATTCTTCTCTTCATTATCCATGACAGTCAACCATTTACCAATTAGGAAGATATTATAGTATGCCAACGCAGGAGGGATTCTCGCTTCAAATGAGCGCCTTTCGTCAGCTCACCACATAGACCATTCTACAATGATTTCAGTTAGTGCCGAAAAAAGGGGGGAAGGTTACCATACTTTCATACTTATATCTTATAAGCTAATATATATATATATATATATATATATATATATATATATATATAATGATTGTTGTTATAAATAAAAGTATATACATTTTAATGTATACAAATTATTTTTAAAAAGTGCCAATAATTGTTTTTACTAAACTTATAAAAATCCTTTGTGAGAAACAAGATATATATGTAAGATATAAGAGTCTTCACTCTTAAAATGAATAGAAGTCAAAAGCATTTAATTTAACTTAATAAAGTTACGTGAATTAATTAAAAAGTAATAAACTTTTTATAAGAAATTATATCTTTATTTAATTTTTTTCCCGAGAGAAGAGTAAAAGAAATAAAAAAAGCTACTTAAAAAAATTAAAATAAGTCTGACTTTATTCAATTTAATGTACATTAAATAATTAATGTACAATAATTGATAAACATACAACCGCTTTATTGTTTTGTTGTCTTATTTTTGTTTCTGAGGCTTATATTCATCGTAACGTTTAATGATCTATACACGAGTTATTATAAAACTGTAAAGTTCTATACGACAAGAAGCAATAATCAATTTAGATTTAACATAAAAAAAAAATCAATAAATAATAAATACATTTAATAAATCAAGTTTATAAAAACATTTCAACTAAATCCAGCTTAAGAAATACCCGACGAGAAGTAAGATATAGCAGATTGCATAAACCCGAAAGAGTTAATGTAAATTTTGCCGATGGAAAGAGCTTTTCAAAATATGGAAATGAGGACAGAGCCTAGAACTCTCTCAGCTCTAATAAGAGTTTGTCGTAATGTGAAGAGTTGTTTGAAACGACAAATATAATACGAAATCGTAAACCCCTACAGCTTTGACGATATTTTCTCTTAAAAAGCTATTCAAATTAAATTTTCAATGGATTTATGATGAAGGCGGTCTTATACAGACATTTATATAATTAAATTTTCTTGCCTTCTAGTAATGAATAAAATCAAATTAAATTACAAACAAATGATATTATCCCACGATAAATATTAGATAAACTATTGATCTCTTAAAAACCTTATTGAATGATAACAGTAGGAACCCAAAAATATAGACAGAGTGTTTCAGGATCAGCTGAAAAACAGGCTAGGAGGAGATCCCAAACCTCATTTGCAAAATGACCATAGTCTATGTTTCCGTTTAAAACAGAAAAGGAGGAAGATTTATAGTATTGCCTACTCGCAACCGAAGGTAGAGAAGCTTTGTATTCGTGAGAGAGTTTACGTTTCAGACATCAAGAATCAAATTTGTTTCGGTGTCTGCCTGCCTGTAGTCACATGTGACGGGCGTCTCACCAACAACTACCGTTCATTCGATTTTTATGATTTCTTTAGAGATTGTGAAGAGTGGTACCTAGATGGTTCCATATCAATTTTATCAAATTCCATCCAGAACTTTCACGGGCGAACGCGTAAATGTATTTTCTTGGATAGACTAATACTTCTGAAACGGCTCATACGATTTTATTGAATTCCGTCCTTTACGGTTTTTTTTTTATACGTCCATATCTCTAAGTTCAATCTGATTAAAATTCGGAGTGAAGTTAGGGATTGGTTACAGATAATTAGGTAATTATAAATTTTGTCCTCTTCCCCCCAAAAAATACTTCCGGTCTCAGATTTTTTGACACGCCTATAGTTTGTAAACGACTCGTTTGATATGGCCTAAACTTGTAGGAAAAAGTTAAGATATTGTCTAGTATCAATTTCATTGAATTCCATTTAAAAATCAAAATTAATACAAATAACTGTTAGCGATATAATGGCTGTGAAATGTGGAAAGCATTGATCATGTGTAATGAATAATAGCAACACATATTGCCGTTACATAGGTTCCGTGTACTGTTTAGTAATTTTTACTCTGAGTTTGTAAAAAAAAGTAATATTTGTGATTGTGTTTATTTCTATTGAAGTTCAGCCAGCTCGTCGTGGTGTCGATTTCCTCCTTAAACATCAAAGTTGTATGAACTTCAAGCATATTTTTATATTCCAGCTTAAATTAGTTTTGTTCTGACTAAAAAAAATATTGGTCTCGTTGATTCCGAAGAAACAAAACAATTTTTTTCCCATAGATTTTTTAATCTATTCATTTTACTAGTGAAAACATAACCACTAGATATTTATCGCTACTGTTAGTGCAAAATACCGTATGTAAAATTTTACATTTTTATTCTATTTGTACTAAAGTTGACATTTCGTAGTATGCGACTGATATAGTTAGTCTGGCACAATAGAAAATAGCAGAGGAAAATGAAATATGAAATTACACTAATAAATCATAAAGAAATAATTAGTTTTGCTGCTCTCCTTTAAAACATTCAGTTTTTACGTACGACATATGTGGACTAATAGTAGCGACAAGCATAATCATAATGTACTGGGATTTTTTTTTGTTACGTTACATCAAAAGCCCTTTAAGTGGTAAATCAAATACTCCAATAAGAGTGTTGAGTATATTACTTAGGAAGAGCTTACAGCTTCTAGACCAAGACTTGTAGAAGGATCTGATTTGGCCGAATCACGCTCAACCGTCGGGTTTCTACCCTTAATTAAACGAAGGTGCCCAATTGATGAAGGCAAGGTCTATTTGAGATAGATCACTCAACCCCGGTTTAAACCACGACTTTTCTAACAGAATAAGCAGTTATCTACAGTCTTATCCGAACCAAGGAGCAGGAATATAGGAGCACAGCGCGTAGCTCACTTAAACTATCGCTTATAGATTTGTATATATATATATATATATATATATATATATATATATATATATATATATATATATATATATATATATAATATAATATATATATTAATATATATATAATTAATAATATTTAATATTTAATAGTTGACCGTTGCATTATAAAGGAAGGAGATGGTCCGGGGTTGCGGTCATAAATAGGCTAAATAGTGGTAAAACTATTTTATTGAAAGCACACTTTTCAAGTTGTTTCTGTAAGGGCTTTCAATAAAATAGTTTTACCACTATTAAGCCTATTTATGACCGCAAACCCGGACCATCTCCTTTCTTTATAATTAATAATAATACAATTTATTAGGTTTGTAATAATGTATTATAATTATTTAAAATACTGTTACTTTGAGAAGAGAGGATTTAACTACACATAATTCATTGTGACAAGTGAATTATGAAATTTCCCCAGTCAAATGGTCCGTACATACTGACACATCTATATAAACAGAATACAAACAAAAAAGACTTACTCCAAAATTTTTTTTGAAGAATCTTGCCAGAACTTCTTCTTTCTCTTGGTCCTCAAGGCCATTATTGAGGGCAATGGTATCCAGGATATGATAACTTTCTGACTCCGTAACACCACAGAGCAAGTCATATCTGAAAAAAATATGATGTTTAATTTATTTATATTTTTATATACAAAAATTATATTAATGACATATTAAATTGTGTAAAGTTGTTTTAATTATTATTGACATGACCACAATACACATTCCAGGTAATATCCGTAGATGACTGAAGAGGAGCTGGATGAGCGACCTCCACGCCTTATGTAGATATCACAAAAAGAAGAAGTGCCGATGGGTACTGCCAATATATTTTACAATTGAGGTCTCATTCACTAGTTGCCATTACCAATATGACAAATGTGAATAAAAAAATATTATATATTATAATCATATCGATTATACTACCATATATCATATTTTATAAACTTTTTTTTACTGTTAGATACCAATTATCTTTTGGTAGACTATCCCACAATGTATGGAAAAATAGTAGATGTTAACCAAACCACATCTTTTCAAATTTATTAGTCATGAAATGGTGAAGTTCTTTACTTTTTTTAAGCCTAAGGTCTTTCGTGGCCTGTAGAGCGACTTTTTAAAATTTTATTTTGACAATCCGAACAACAACCAAACATTGAGTATGTCACTTAAAGTTAATTAATGCCATACCGAATGTTAAGCGTACGAGTGGTAGGTTAAGGTAAAAGGAGTACGTTAAGGCTGATCTTGTGGAGTTGTGGACGGCGGTCGGTGAAAGGAAGTAAACAGTGGTGTCGGTATCGGACCTTCTGATTCGTTAAAAATTTGATTATAATAAAACAACAACGATCGAACCCTTGAACTTGATATAATTAATATAAAATAGATATTAGCATCTGCAGGCGATGTTGTCCTGATTGGAAAACATCATAAAAGAATAAGAGAAGCCTTTGTAAAATGATCATGAATTATCGTAACGAAACATAATGGAATACAAGTTAACCATTGTAGTATATAATTTTGATTGGGTCCAAAGGCTTATTAAAACTATGCACTCTAAATAACTCCGGAAACAATGATTAAGAGGAAATAAAGCAAACCATCCTCCTATTCAATTGATGTTACAATAGACTTCTCAAATATTTTAGGAGTAGAAGTTTATTTAGACAACAAAAAACGCAAATATAAACACCTCTGCGGTCTGTCCTAACCTATACATGTTTAAGGATGGGACGATTCACAAGAAGAAAGAAACGTAAGGACCCACTCTTAAAGTCAGATCGTGGCAACGGAGGATGTGCATATAATTAAAAGACTTTTTTAATGTGGCTGATATGGTGGCTAAAATTAAGTTAGAGTAGGCGTATTTAATAATCGTCCTCGAGATATTTTCAGATAGTAATAGATAGATAGAAAAAAAAATATTCTGGTACAAAGTCCCTTTCAATGTGTATATATCAATATACGCAATGTGAAACAAAAAAAATCTAATATACTAGGAAAATTGGCGCGAAATCGCAAAATGGGAGGATGAGGTATAGAAGGAGACCATGGCATGAAAGAGCAATTTTACTATCCTAAATAAAATTTATAAATAATCAACTTTTAAAATAAATAAACTTGAACCATCAATCCAGACATAGCAATCAACTATTTCGTATTAATAATATTATTTATTTATACTGGGACCGGTGTCTAGAGCCACATAGTTTGAAATAATAAACAGATATAAGTTAATTTTAACATAAATAATATACAATGAAAAAACTTCAAAACAAAACAATAATTTATATACATATTTATAGAAAATTCTATTTATAATGGTTTGAGAACTGGATAGATAGAAAGTGATTGAATAGGCGGGATCTCAAGGTTGATGGGGTATTGGTCGAGGATCGAATAATAAAAGATCTTTTTAAAGTCGCTGTTCGACTAGCCATTTTATATAAATCTAAAGATTGGAAACAGGTATTGTCTGAGTAAACAGAAGATTTGAATTGAAGGAGCTCGGAAATGTATGAGATACGGTGGGATTGGATGACATGGAAAAGGAAGAATGCAAGAAAATATTTACGACGGTAGAAAGGATAAAGCCATTAACTCTTCATAAAAATGGGAGACAGAGGAATCCCTCGGAATTCCGATGGTGAATTGTGCAAAACAGTTCACCAAACATTTGAGAGTTTTAACTCAAAATCTCAAGAGATTCTACCGAACAAAACTTGTCAAATTGGGGGAATATTGAGGAATTAATTAGGAGTGGATTCCAATGAAAATCAGAAGTGAGATGCACTTTTACCGATGTTGTTCAACTTAACTCGGGAGAAGGTAATAAACAACATCACACGAAAATGGAGAGGTCGACTTCGGAATGAACCAAAAAATTATTATATACGCAGATGATATAGCTGTCCTTGGAAGTAATCAAGAATACATTGAGAAACTCGCTACAATACTGATAAGAGATGCAGATCAGATTGGCCTACAAGTAAATGAATACAAAACAAAATATATGATAATAAGCCGGAAAGTCAACGCCAATAATATGATCTGCGTTGAAGGAAAATCATCCCTAAGAGTAGAAAAATTCAAATTCCCCGGCTCCATAATAACCTCAATGAATGACCAACGGGCAAAAATAAACCAGTGTATAACTAGCGCAAACAGAGCTTTCTTCTCCCTCTCAAAGGTATTGAAAACCCGAAAAATCTCAAACTAAGGGTTTGAGCCGTAAGGGTGTACAATGCAATGATAAAGCCAGTTCTAATATACAGCCGTGAGGCCTGGACACTAACCAGCACCCTAGAAAAAAGTGTTGAAAGATTTGAGAGGAAAATCCTCCACGATAATCGGATAAGTCTGGGATTAGAGAACACATGGAGAAGAAAGATCAACAAAGAATTGCTTACAGAAATTTTTAATCAATATCCCATGATATGAAGGCACGGAAGTTAAGATGGGTGGGACATGTAGCTCGCAGCAATCCATCTGGAAGCCTCTCAACAATGAATGTCTCAATAGAAGGTAAAATACCACGTGGAAGGCCAAAAAACAGATGGATTAATAGAATCAACAAAGATGCAACAGAGCTGCGTGCAGATGAATTGAAAGAAATAGCCCAAGAGAGGCAGAGATGGCTTGTTAAAGGGGCAAAACATCTACATGATCTGTAATGACAAAAAAAAAAAGTTCTGCTTCCATTTTGACTAATTTAATCAATCAAAAACCGGATGAAGCAGTAACACATTAAAAAAAAAAACTTTTCTTTTAGAACAATAAAAGTATGAAAAACCTTATTAATTATTTCACTACCCGATACGTATTTGTTTCCAATTTGAATTAAAAACCGACTCGGAGGGAATTATCCTTTGTCGGGAGGAAGTGAGTTAGAGGAAGACTGCAGCCATTAATCAAATTAGGGCTCCTTCCGGCGTAACCTGCAACAGTTTCTTTAAATTTAATTAAATTTCTTTGCCTCCTCTCCTCTCCCCCTCTCTTCTCCCCCCTCCCCTCCAAAGCCCCATCTCCTCCACCTTCCTTGAATTAAACAGGCTGTCTTTAAACAAAGTGCTAATTCAATGTTGGTCCATAATTCATTGTTTAAATTGGAAATTCACTTTTGAGAAATTTAATTTTAGAGACCAAAGTAAGGATTATTTAATTATGGCTGGTTGTCTTCCAACACAATTCCCCGATGGAAAATTGAATTTTGCGTAAGTTTAGCAATTTGAAAACGTTTCTTAGAACAGAGCTATATTCGTTAAATTTTATTTAGGCTTTGAAATATAATTATTTCATTTCAACTCAAGTATTAAGTTTTAAGAGCTGTATATTTAAAAGAAGAACAAATACAAATGTCATTATGTAATTACTACAAAAGAGAATTTGCAAGAATTGGTATAAAGAAATGATCGAATTTTCAGAACATGATTTCAATGAAGATATTAGACAGCAACTAAATATACAAACAAACTTTTTTAAATCCAAAAGACGTATGCACCAATGATTTCTTGATTAGCAAAAAACAGAAAACCACACTTTTAAAAACTAGAACATTTTCAATAAAAAAATGTTAAGACTATAAACAGACGCTCCTTGGTGCTCAATTAAACATAACGAAATAACAAAAATCTACATACCCACTTACAACTAACTATCGATCAATACATAAGAACTCTTTACTCTCAGTTTCATATTAACCTTTACGAACACTACAGTTGTTCTCTTCTTCTTCTGCGTTCTTACTTATATGACTAGGTCAGGAACTAAAATAAAGGCAGAATTAGTTATTCCTCCTCAGGTCCTCCATGCTTCCAATTAGTTTCCTTTCCAATTCAGTTGCAGAGGGCTAGATCACCTCCCTTTGCTGGGAATATTCCATGCACGTTTGTAGGATATGTTCCACATTCTGTACACCCTCACCGCACTCGCAGATGGGACTAGAGCTTTGAAGCTACTGAATAGGTGAGCTTTGAGCCTGTTGTGTCCAGTTTGTAAGCGAAAGATCAAGATCTGATCTTGTCGAGTTAGTCAATAGATCGTATCTCTGGAGTCGTGAAATGGATGATTTTGGAGCTAACTTTAGTTAATACTTGTTTTATTGATTGTTTTTACATCGTCTAGGCTGATCTTACATTCAAATTGTGAACTCAAGGCCCCATCCATTGCCAGCTGGTGTGCCCTTTCGTAGGCTTGTGTACGACATGATCATAGCTGACATGCTCATTAGAATACGATTAAAAATAAGCTGGATGAGAGACCTCATTTAATGAACAAAGGGACTTAATCATGAGCGAGAAAAGGTAATACAATTCCAGATGCCTGAAAAATAATAATCATAATTTTTCAACAGATTTTATTATTTTCACTTTCATCAGTGACAGGCATAAATAGAAAAATGAAAACAAATTCTCATTATTTTGCTCCAATGTACTTTTGAAAAATGTATTTATTTTTTTAAAGGAATAATTCATTATTTGAATGTAAGAATGTTTCACTCAATCTGAAAATGTTTCTTTAACAGAAGAGAGGTGACGAAGAAAAGTAATCTATCAGTTTACAAGTCAACGTTTTTTCCCATGCTATATTACTCCTTGGAGACCTGAACCCTTACTTCAAAACATCAGGAAAAGACTCAAACAATGGAGAAGAAATGCCTAAAGAATGGTTGAAGGGTATACTAGGAGATATAGGATTCACAACACAACAACAAGGTCTAACCTAGAGGTGCTGCCAGTAGTAGCCACCATAGAAGAGGATAAACTAAGATGGTTTGGCACTTCCTGAAGCTGAAAATAGAATGAACGGCCAGGATAACATATGAGACACGAATGGAGGGAAGAGGACCAAGAGGAAGATCACGTATAACCTGGGAGAAGCATTCAGGAAGCGAGGACTGGAGTTGCGTAGGAGGAAAGAGCTGCTACAGGAAAGGGACTCTTGGTCCAAGTTCTGTAGAGGACATACCCACTCTGCGGAGGATTATGATTTTGATGATTAGGGGGGATAGTTCATTTCATATCAGCAATGGTATTTGGTTTGTTCAACAAATGTTGATATTAATAACTAAGTGAAGGCTAAAACTTGTTTTTTGATATAATAATGGAGTGGAAATAATACGTTAGGATTACTGTTTTTGTGATATATAAAAAAAAAAAGTCTACCAAGTAAAGTCAGTATAGCTTCCTCGCCGTTTGCTTTTTTTTTTTTCTGGCCCCTAAGAAAACTTTATTTAAACTAATTACAATATACAATGATAAGATGTAATACATGTATATACAATGATCATTTAACCTTTCCTTATCCAAAG